TATCTGAGGTGAGAGGAAGATTAAACAGAGTAGGTGAATTAGCTAGACAAGATTTGAAGGTGGCATAGTACATAATGAAGCAAAAAGCAGATAAGAAATCTAAAATTTATACTTGGCCCGCGGGGATAAAGTATTGGTGCTATTACCAGTGATAGGAGATCCCTTCAAAGCAAGTTTTAGTGGTCCCAATCAGATTGAGAGGAAGTTACTTCAGGTGAATTATCTGGTAAAGATGCCAGACAGGAAAAAAAAATTTATCGTCATGTGAAAATGATGAAACCTTACTATGACAGGGAAAGGGAACTGGAGAAACAGGTATTAGTTACTGCGACTCAAGAAATAAAATCCAGATAATTTAGATTTTGATGTGCCTCAGCATAAATTAAGTAATGAGGAAGTCCTTAAAGAATGGGATAAGGTAGTAAGCTGTCTGTCACAGGAACTGAGAACTGAATTGAAAGGCTTGTTGCAGCACTATAATGACATGTGTAGAAATAGAATGGGGAGGACTAACACAACTGTACACGAGGTTAACGCAGGGAATGCTGTTCCAAAAAAAAAAAAACACCCTAAAGGCTTAATCCTCTCAAAGCAGCCCAGGTACAGAAGGAAGTGGAAGCTATGCTCCAAGAAGACATCAAAAGCTGAGTCAAAGCATGTGGAGTCCGCCGAACGCGTTGGTTCCCAAATCTGATGGTATTCAATGATGGTGTAGATTATAGGAAGGTCAACGCTGTGATTAAATCAGATTCGCACCCAATTCCAAGGCTGAAGGACTGCGTGGAAAAAGTTGGACAAGCCACTTCTATCACAAAGTCGGATTACTTTATGGTTACTGGTAAGTAGATTTGTCGAAGAGAGCGAAAGAAGTTTCTTTACTTGTGGCCCCAAATGGGCTTTATCAATTTAAAGTAATGCCCTTTGGAATGAAGAATACACCAGCCACATTTCAAAGAAATATGAAGAGAGTTGTTGTAGGATTGACTAATTGTGCTATCGATATGGATCACTTAGTGATCTTTAGCTATCTGTTGATGGATCATGTCGCATCTGGCAGAGCGAGGGATTACGGAAGGCAAAGTTGGTCATAAATTTGGCAAAGACAGAATTCACGAAGGCGGATGTGATGTTCTTAGGACACAACATTAGACATGGAAGGATGACACCAAGGAACATGAAGATGAAGACCATCGAGGAATTTCCAAGACCATCCTCAAAGAAAGAAGTGCTATGATTTTCGGGACTGAGCAAATTCTATGGAAAATTTGTACCAAACATTAGTAGCATGGTGGCACTGCTGATGAAATTCCAGTGGACAGACCAATGTCAGCAGGAATGAGACTTAAAAGCAGTTTTAACCACTGCACCAGTTTTAGCTACGCCAAATTTCTCAAAACCCTTTAAAGTCGCCATTGACACAAGTGACAGAGAGGTTGGAGCTATGTTGTTACAGGAGGATGATTGTGGAATTTAAAGGCCAATTGGTTATTTTTCAAAAAAATTCAATATCCACCAGAAAAATATCCAACCGTTGAAAAAGGGTTATTGAGTTTAGTACCAGACTTACAACATCTTAATGTTTGCGTTGCAAACAATGAATCAGAGATGGTTGCGTAAACTGATCACAACCTTTTGACATTTTTGGAAAGATTTAATGATAAGAACACCAGACTATTTCATTGGAGTCTTATGTTACAAGCATTTAATTCACAGAATGTACATGTTGTGGGTCATAAAAATGTTATTGCAGGGTGTGTTATCACAGGTTTAAAAGAAAATATGTATACAAGATAGAAACAGTAGTGTCCAATGTATATAGAAATAGTATGAAATGTGTAACTTTAGGTTAATGACCTATGTATCGAATAATAGTAGCGGTAGGATTTAGAAAAAAACCATCTTTTCATCATGATGGGGTTTTTTTCTTAAGGGGAGAGGGGGAGGTGTTGCTAAGTTGGGTATAGTATTTGTGAATTAGAAAGAAGGACTTTAGAATTTTTTTGTAAAATGATATGGGGTAAGAATATGTGGTCCCTTTAAAAGATGAGGTTTTTTTAAGGCTTGGAGATTTTTTATAAACTCTGCAGGCAGCAGCAGATGCACAGAGTTCTTGAAAATGAAACACAGTATCAAAAGGCTATACTGTTAGCAGGCAAAGCAACATTTTTACAAGACAACAGGTTTTTGAAAGTAGCCAACTAATTTAAACCAGGCCCTAGATACCAAATTGCAATTAAATTTAAACCTGAGTTTTGACAACCTAGAACCAATCCTATTGTAAGAAATTAATAGGTCAAGGGTATAAAAGAAGAGGGGCATTTTAAAAAATCAATGTGAGAGCAAACCGCCATCTGAAGAGAAACTCGCTGGCTCTTACAAATCTCTAAGCTCTCAGAGTAAGCACCATCTAAATAAAGGTACGACGGCACTCATAAATAACATTCCTGGCACACGAATTCAATGGAGGAAGACGTTCCTGACTGGAGAACAACGGAGAAGGCAAACAACACTATGATAGTTTTATCCTGGATGTAATTTTGAGAGATTAAGTTTTAATTTAATTTTTATTTAATTTGGTTTATATAAGTGGGACTTATATTTATTGGAACAGCATACCATTAGAATTTTGTTTTATTAGTTAAGGGGGAATTATTCAGTTTGTTAGTAGTTCTGTTAATTTGTTTACTGTTAGAGTTCAATAAATAAAAATGTTACTTGTTGATTATAAAGTGAGTATCAGGGATTTCTTTTATTTAACTACTTCTTTATAACAGCTTGGGGGGGTGGGGTGGTGGTGAGAGGCAGGTTTTACCACTTTTCACACTTGCTTTAACAGATTACAAGGCGAGGCGAGCTTCTCTGGGTGTTTCGGTTTTAATTATCAGAGAGGTGTCGTCCCCTGCTTCGTAACATTATCTTGGGCAGTCTTAAAGCATTGGCCTAACATTTACAGGGGTTCCGAATCAGGCATGTTTCTCACAGCTTGATTTAAACATGCATTTGCAGCAACAGGTACCCAGTAATAAGGCTTCTCATGTGAGGAAAAAAGTCTATGTTTCTCGGCTATATCAATATAGCACCAAGTGTGGTGCTAAACCACACAGGTTAGGTAATTCTTCAAACTTATCCAGTTTCCGAGAGAAGCAGCCACACAAGAACACGATAATTCTGTTATATACAAAATCAACGTGGATATAAGTGTTATAAATAAAACAAGAGAACTGCATTTGTAAAACAAAAACTGAAATTGCTGGAGAAACTCAGCAAGTCTGGCAGCATCTGAAGATGGAAAGCAGGGTTAACATTTCGAGTCCAGTGACCCTCCTTCACTGCTTTCACTCCACAGATGCTGCCAGACTTGCTGAGTTTCTCCAGCAATTTCTGAATAGAAGCGTTGTTCCGTCTCAAAGCAAAACCCAGACTAGACACAAGAGCATCTTTAGATTTAGAGAAAATCTCTTTCTACAGACTTAGACGATACAACCTACTACCAATGTTCATCTTATTTGAAGGAGGAAGTGTCAATTTTGCGGTAATTAATACTAAATGATGAATAATTCAATAATGTGGCCTCAAGTACAGGACTGCATTGAATCCAATGACCAGTGGCTTCAATTACAAGTGTGAAAATCACTCTCTTCTCCTGGGTGGCGAGTGGGATAGGTTAACTGGAGCCTTCAAAACTCAGATGGATGAATATGAATTTTTGTTGGGTAGGAGTGTTGAATGAAGTACAGTAGAATGGGTTAAGAGAGGGGAAATACAGATCAGGTTTCAATTAACTGCATGTCAGTGGAACAACCACAAGTGGAAAGGAGAACTGTGCCATTTGTGGATGCTAAAGTTACACAAAGTTGTGAAAGAAGAAGTCTGTGCCAAACATTCTCCATTTCAGATATTGATATATACTGTCAGTATACTTTTCCCAGTTCAGATTTCCAAGCAGCTGACAGCAAGTTGAGTTTAGAATCAAGCTCTAGAACAAAGACCCCTCTCCTGCCAACTAAGCTAAGATGGAAAGCTTGCCAATTGGCAAGGCCATCCAGTTGCAAACATCTCCTTTATTTGCTCAGGTTTCCTAATTTTAGACGGCTCCTTCTGAGATCCACGGTCATTTAACTGGCATGTTTGTGATCGAGGGAGGGGGCAAACTGATCGTAAACAGTTTTCCCAGCAGGAATGGTTCAGAACAAAGGACACAATCTTAGAGAAACACAGTCAGATGATTCATTTGTGATGTTAAAAAGTACTCCTCTTCAGTAAGGGTGGTGGAAAAATTGGAATTTTCATCTCTTTTTTAAAAAAGGTGGGGTCAAGTGAAAATGTAATAATCAAGTAAATGGAGTTATGAAAACTGGTAGATGGAGTTGAAATGCTGATCAGCTGCAATTTAACTGACTGACAGTGCAGGCTGAAGGGGCTGAATGCCTCACGTTCTAATGTTCACTCCACTCAAGTGGTTTTTCTGCACAGTATCAAAATCAAGTCCCAGTGGCCTATTTCATCAGAGGCAAGGGTTTGAAAGTTGTGAGGTGGTTCTGACCTTGCTTGCCAGTAGGGCCCTAACTCCTACTTCAGCAGTGAAAAGGAGGTCAATTTGAAACTGTCTCTGGATCTACAGCCTCTCACTTCAAGACCTATCCAGTGGTTCTCGTGGTGACCCCAGTTAGTGTCTATTTCCTGGCAGAGGGACAGATATCGGAACAATGGAGCAAAATTCCTTGCAGCATGGGAGGAGACAAACTATAAAGAATTTGGTACTTCCAGCACAATGGAACAATGACAAACAGCGAAAGCCAAGTAACACCCTGTGTCAGCCATCCACCACAGTTGTCGTGCTTCCTAGATACCTTGGGCCCTGCCCACCTCTAGGACCAAGGAAAACCAGCTGAGTGTGCATAGGTAGCAGCTTGCACCCTTCCTCCACATAATCACATTCCTCAGGGAAGAAAGGACACATCAACTGAGTCAGCGCACTAGGCATATAAGAGTTCTCTTACCGCGGGTCATGGGATGGCCCTGTCTGGGCGAGTAGGATGAATTCACACTGCAATGCTGAGCCCTGTGAATATTCCATGAGGCCACTAACTGGGTTTTTCGTTAAGCAGGCACGAAGCCGGTCGGTTGGTGAAAGTGTTGGGTGTTGATCAGCACCAGGCTTGCCAGCCAACACACCCTGCGGCAGACCAACCGTCTCCCCAGCCTCACTCACACGGTTGATGATGTTCAGGTCGTCAGGGATATCGTCAGACGCCCACTGGCCATTTCCTGTGGTGCTGTCATAGTAGGCTGCCTCAGCATGATTGGCCTTATGGGTCTCCACCTTAACATCGAGCAGCAGCGGAGCAGAAGTGGACAGGGAATGCAAATCATTTGCTTCCCCTTGAAGAGCAACTGCCTGGCCATTGCCTACACTCCCCTCTTCCTTGACTTTGACCTCTTCAATGACTTCTCGAGAACCATCACTTTCATCTTGAACAGTCACAGGTATTCGCTCCAAAGTTTCAATTCTGGGCTCACCCAATTCAAGTAGCTTTTTCTTCCTTAGCAGCACTTCTTTCTTTCTGTCTGAAAGGGTCCAAATCGGTGGAAATGCAGACTCCTTGTAGAGATCACCTTGATTTTCAAACAAGTGAAGGGTGGGATTGATTTGCCGAGCTGACTTCAGTCCAATGTTTTTGGCAATCTCAAGGGCAGTAGCCTTCTCCTTCTCCAAGAGGAAGGAGAAGATTTTGTTCTTTTGGGTTTCACCATCTCCCATGTTGGAGTGGTCAGTCATGTTACTGTCAGTGCTGTCTTCGTCGTCAGAAGCTTGCTGCTCTTCCTTGGGTGGCAGAGGTAAAGCTATGCCCTCAGGTGATGATCGCTTGCTTTCACGAGCCTGTTCTCTGGTTTCTGTTTGGCCCACAAGGCGCCACAGAGGGGTTGATGCACCTTCCTTCTGCACTAGGTTTTCCTTCAGCAAACCGTACAAGATGCGGTTGACTATTTTTTTCTGAATGCACAGCTGCCTGGCTATCTGACGCGCTGGTAATCTTTCTGTCGATCTAAGTTTTCCCAAAATAGACAGGATATCCTGGCGAGCGTTGCCACCAAGTGAGATATTCTCAAACCTTGAGAACAGGTGTTCTAATTCCGGCTCAGTCTTGGGGTCCTTCTTCACTTTCTGGACAGGGGGAGCTTGGGGCTGGGGATACCTAACCAGCTGCTGGTTGAAGTTGTTGTTCCAGTTCTTGGCTGGCGGACGGAAAACCCGCTGCTTCTGCTGGTATGACACCTGGATCCTGTACGGCTGCTGATACACAAAGGCAGGTGCCTGTGAGATCTGCCCCGTGAGAAACCGGATCTGCTGGCTTCGAAAATGATCTATTCCCGTTCCTTGAATTGAGGGGTTGAAAGCCAGATGACTGTAGCTGTACTGATCGTGAGGGTGGTTATATCGATAAGAACCTTTAGCTTTTCCTCTATGTGCTCTTCTATCACCGCCACTACCTCTGCTCATAGCTCTTTAATACGAGCTGTGGGGTATGCTTGCCTTTGCTGACACACTAAAGGGCATGCAGATTGAACTGGGACCTTGGTCCAATCGATCGAATCACCTGCGTACACCTGAAACAAAAACAGAAAATTAAAATTATACTAATGGAAAACATGTACAGGTAAAATAAGCCAGGATTGCCAGAACCAATGGCCATTGGCAACTCTTGCTGGAAAACAAGCACAGAGGATTTGGGGGTGATGACTGGAAAACTTATGATCCCTGCCAATGCTCATCGGCTGGAACAGTCATTAGGACAAGGGACTGAAGGATTGCTGGCGCCTGCAAGGCAGCACTGTAAGCTCAATGCCATCGAAGGTGGAAAAAACCCTGCATAAAGCAAAACATAGAAAGGTGTTCCACAATTACACCTTTATCTTAGAGAGAGAGAGAGACAGACAGACAGAGACAGAGGGAGAGAAGCAGAGGGAGAGACAGAGAGAGAGAGAGACACAGAGAGAGAGAGAGACACAGAGAGAGAGAGACACACAGAGAGAGAGAGACACACAGGGAGACACAGAGAAAGAAGGAAATGAAAAGTCTATATTTTGTGCTACCACTATCCACAGCTCCCAGTACAATTCAGTCCAGGATGCTAAGAAATTCTAAGAGCTTGTCCTTTTAATTTGGCAGTAACCAGCAGTATACAGGACCTCAGTCCTCCACGGCACATCATACCAATGATCCATTAGGGAAACAAACGTGACGAACTAAATAAGAAGCTTGCTTTTGGTCTGTGGAGCTGCCACCTGCCAGCTGGTGTAAGCCACTAAATGATTCCTGACCACACTGTTCTACAAATCTTTTCATTGCACTATTCATTGTGTACAATCTGCTAGTATTTTGTAGCAAATTCACAACTGCTTTGCACACAGAATTCAGCCCAAGCAGTCCAGGCCAGTGTTTATGCCTCACCCCACCAACATATTTTTCTATAACGGCTTTTCTCATAGAGGTATCCAGCTTCACCTGGTGTGTGTTGGTGCTGAGCGATCAACTATGCTCTCAGGCAAATAGGCAGAGGTAGTAAACTCAGAGCTGCAAGACCGTAGAGAACAAAAAGATTGTTGCAAGTTATCTGCTGCACAATTATATTTTAATTAAGAAAACATATTTAAACCTATTGCTTCAATTACCCATCTCCATAACCCTCCAGAGAACTAAACAATTAAAATTTCTAGAAACAGTGCCATGGAAAGCAGTGAAGGCAACACAACCCCAACAATACAAGAATCACTAGGTAACTAGTGAGTGGTGCTGGTGAAAAGAATAAGGGTATGTGCTAACTGGACATCAGCAGTAATTTCAGCACACCAAGTACTAACTCTCATAGCACTGGACTCATCTTAACTGTATGTCAAGAGGAGACTGCGGGAATTAAAGAACTTGGAAATAAAATTTATCCTGTAATTAAATTTTATTTTTAAATATAAAAATGAATGTTACTTCACACTCTGCAGGCTGTTAGTTCCAGTATGTTTTTTTTTAAATTAATGGATACAAGCGTGTTGAATAAGTCCAACATTAACTGCCCGTTGTTATTTAGCCTTGACAGATAGCTGGCAGTGACCCACCTTTTAAATGTCTGAAGGCCTTGAACAAAATTTTCATTGTTGTGCGTCTAGAGTTGAGTATTGATAAGGACAACAGGTTTATTTTTAAGAGAATCATTAGTAAACCAGATTGATTCTTTTTTTAGGGAAATCGGTAGTTGTGTGGGTCACCGTGGTTTTTTTAACCCTGGACTCAGTTAACTTTCCAGCTGCCTTTTGAGGATTTTAGCCCCTGTTCCCAGTTCCAGTGACAGAACCACCATGCTCCTATTCCCATGTACTGTTCTTGACTGCTACAGCATTGATTCCATGCTGAAACCATTTCAATATTGCTGAAATATCACACTGAAGCTCATTTAATCGGGTGGGCCAGTGAGCCAGTACCTCAATGCTCACTGTCCATGCAGTGAGGTAAGTTCAAAGCCAGGGCTTGATGCCCCTAATTAATCCAAAAAGATATTAGGAAGAGATAGTAGGAACTGCAGATGTTGGAGAATCTGAGATAACAAGGTGTAGAGCTGGATGAACACAGCAGGCCAAGCAGCATCAG